GATTCCACGGTGAATGCACTTTGCCTTATCATCACCCACACAATAACCCTTTTCACGCCTGACACCTTATCAGACATATGACAATGTGTCATAGCTAGGAGTGAAGTCATCACTTACGTAATCAGGACTTCTCACGCCGTAGCCGCATTGCTTGTTCCTGATGATCTCCTGTGGACGAGGATCAGAGCTGAGCTCAGTATCGCCCAAACGCAACATTTGAGAATCTGAGAATCGACCAATCGCAAGCCTTGAAGGACTGCGTGTCGACCAATCGCTTGCTTTGAAATGATGGAACCCTACCAATCACAAAGAGCTTTGGCAGTTATGATAATTATTGAGGCTTCACGTCTTTGCCAGGGCCATTTCAAGACAGGATGCATTCTTTAGGACTGCGACTTTAGGACTCCATGTGGACTGCGGTGGTGGCGTGGCTGGGACTCTAACCTTTGAGAGTCGCCCATTTGCAAGCTTCGCGGTGAGAGTCGACCAATCGCCTGCTTTTAAACGATGGAAGTCGACAAATCGCAAGAGCTTTGGCAACATGAGAGTCGTTCAATTAGTACCTTTGGCGGCGCGAGTCAAGCCATTAGAAGTTTTGGCAGCATGAGTCCGCGCCGGGCGCGGGAGCGCCTTTCTTCACCGGCCTTGGGTACCGCCAGAACCGGCGAGGCTCTTGAGCTCACCCGTTCAATGCAGCGATGAAAACCCAGCAATAACGCGTGGAGTTTGCGTCTCTTTTAGGAGGACCACGATCCTCTCAACCTCTGCATTGGACGGTTGCCTTCCGGAAATCAAGGCTGACGCTACTAAATAATGTGAAAACACTTGCGATTCCCCCTCCCCCCACCCACATGATCACACCACAGAGCACCACACAGTTACCATTCGAATGGCCCCCATCCCCACTGTGACCTTGGTGACCCGGCCGGCACGGGAGAGGGCAACACACTCACATTCTCCTCTGGGATGCAGCAGCTGAAGGGGACGCCGCAGGCCTCGCTGCTGCCGACGGCGACAGCCGAGCAGTTGAAGTAGCGGTTGCCATCCCAGTCCTTGGGGCCCTCCACGCCACAGCAGTGCAGCTGTGAATGGAAGATCGTGGCAGTTCAGGGCAGGGCAGGGCAGGGCAGGGCAGGGCAGGGCAGGGCAGGGCAGGGCAGGCAGGGCAGGGCAGAGCAGGTAGCACGAACCAAGGCAAGTTGGGCAAAGGTAAGCTAAAAAGTAAACTGAGTTGGGTCAGAGCCACTCACATACCACCAGGTCACATCACGGCGAATCAGGGGCCAGGGTGAGTCAGGTTCGAGTCACTCACTTACCGTCATGCCAGGTGGGGCCCAGTCAGGTTAGATCAGGTTAGGTTACAGCAGAACAAACTAAGTAAGATTGAGGTCGCTCACATCGTATCTGACCAGATATGTTCGCATCGTGTCAGGTCAGATCAGGTCAGATCATGTTAAAAAGAGTCAGGTCAAGACACAGCAAAGAATTTCAGATGAACTATGAGACTGCATGTCTAGTCACACTCTGATGTGACCTGATGTGACAAGGGATGGTCAGAGCAGATAACATCAGGCCCAGCTGGACCAGGTAGTCAGACTTTTTAAGTCATGCAAATCAATATATTTCATTTAAGTTATTCATATCAGAGTTATGTCCCTTTTTTAAAGTTTGGTAGTTTCTAAGTTCTTTGTTATTATTATATATATAGCTGAAATTCAAGTTCCATGATATGGCGATGAACTACCTGAAAAGAAATTTAAAAAGTACACACAAAAATTGAAAAAATCAACCACAAAAATGCATGAATACAGAGAAGAAAATCAAAACAATACGTGAAATACAAAATAAACAAAAAGTAAGATAAAAGATTGAGCTAATGATGATAAAGGCCTACTTGGGCATGAGGCGATCCTGGAAAATCTCACACCAACACACAACCACACCACGCAGTTCCCCAAAAGATCATTCAGGGTAACTGTGTGCAGCCCCGGCACAATCATAAACAAACAACACGCTCCCGTCACCTAGATAAAGTTGTCGCCTCTTCGTATTGGTCACGTGACCGACACCTCAGCAGGGCCACGCGCCGTGGCTTTGTGATTGTTGGTCACGTGACCGAGGTCAAAGTCAGCTTGAGGTCAAGGTCGTTGTTGTCCATTGGTGTTTTCGGGCGCGTCGACTAAAGTGGTCATTTTGCGCCCCTTGAGGTCAAGGCCAGACTAGTCAGGTCATGTCGGGGTCAAGGTCAGGTGACCGAAGCTCAAACGCCGCGGCACGACCAGCATTCCAGGGCGGGAGAGTTCGCAGCCATGGGGACGGCCGTCACCGCCAGCCGCTCCCCGTTCAGGGAGCGCTCCGCCCGGAGCACCAGTTAAAAATGCAAGCAACGCATTGGTTGATCTGTGGGCAGCGTGTTAAAATGCAGCCATCGCAGTGGCTGATGGATGTGCAGCACGTTAAAACCATCTCGGTGAAAGGCAACACCGAGGTCATAACAACGTCAAAGCCCCGAAGGAGGCAAAATCAGCGGAAGATCCGTTTTATCGATGAGCAGGAGACCAAATTTAGAACAGTCCAAATTTGAGAATCAGAAATTGTCCGCCAGTGGTACCACTCCTCGACTAACATCCTGAGCGTTGATACGGTCAACACCTCACGCTGGGCTTAGTGGGGCGTCCAGTTCCGCCTGCGCCCCGCGCAAGCATCCTCACCCAGCCTTCCTGTATCCAATCGATGAGGTTCTGCTGGTCGGGATCGTCACGGTAGTGGACGATGAAGGCGCGGAAGCCCTCGGTGGCCTGCTCCTTGAACCAGTCCTTGAAGATGAAGCACAGGATGCCGCCCGTCATCTCCAGCAGCAGCAGGATCGCCAGGCAGATAGCGTACTGGGGGCGCCAGCGTCAGCCGGTCAGTCCCAGCGCCCGCACGTGTTCGCGTGGGAGCGAAACGGCGCAGTTGGCCGCCAGCTGGGCCATCGCGTGGGAGGCCCGGGTTCGATTCTCGGCTGGCGCCAAGACCTCTGGGTGCTGATGTGGACAGTGTAGTTGCTTGCATTCCAAACAATTGAGGATGACATCATGCTGCGCCACCCTGGAAGAAAAAGCTTGCACAGGCTTGTTTACATATGATACAGAATAACCTCCCCTGATATAATCCTCCCCATCTGTCACTTCAATCAATCAGATATCAATAGTAAATGCCCATTTGGGAGCAACATGCCTCCACACTGACATGCCATTAAATGCCAAACTACTGCATAGGATAGACATAACTGCACTAAATTGGATACTGTGTGCACATTTGATGATGTTGCGCAGTGTATTTGTTATTCTGTGTGAGTTTAGGGAAGGCATGTTGACTAATTTATGCTCACTCAGAGCCATAGTATTTCTGCTCACTTCATAAGCTCTGGCCAGGGGTTTGCATTCTGACATTACCAGTAATCAAATTTTGAGACAAAGTTCATTGACTGAAAAGATGGACAAATATGTGGTAACAAGACATGGCTCATAACAGGACACTACATGTTTATCACCAATGCAAAATGGCAGCAATGAGAATGACTACATAGATACGGCTATCGCAGACCACTAATGAACAATGGTGAACAATGATTACATGTGTGCATCCCTCACTATGCAAGGGTGCTCATGGCATGGTGGTTCACATGTCTGTGTTAGCCACTAAGCATCTGGGAAACTGGAGGCAACTGGGTATGATTCCCTGCTGTGCCCATCCTTCATGTCAGGCTGAGAGACAGGTGATGATATACAGCCAAGTGCATGGGGACTGTTGACTGCAAAAGTCAAGCAGGGCCAAGGGATAGCATTAGTTCCCCAGTGTTGAACTAAGCCCCTCTGACATGATGGGGACACAGACAATTTATTTGCTGATAATATACACCATGCTGAATCCTATTCCTTCTTGTAATATGCACTATGACAAACATTATTCCTACTTTGCTCTAAGGATCACTCAAGAACAATCATGCATGGTATGGAGCCCACAGTTATTATGAAAAAGCCTGCGTAACTTACAATCCCTTTGATGCATGCTGCATTTGGATGAAACAAAACAAACAATGGAGAAACCATATGGAAGGTTGGAATTTTTCCTCCTTATATAACATGTTGTCATATCCAGCTCCCTATTCAAATAGCAATGAATTTCCCCACATATTCTATTCAGCATCCCATACCACTACACACTGTAAACATAACCATGCAAAATTGACATGAACTCTCCAATTTCAGACAGGTCTTGACAAATGCAAGACTGCCCATCATGCAAAACTGGCATAGTAAAACTACATAACAAATGCAGAACAAAGGCACAGAAAGTGGTCATTCTAGTTACAACAAAAGAGCAATGGCCATTCAGACTATAATACAACAGCAAGTCACATTTAAATTGTAATAGAACAGTGGCAATTCAGATCATAATTACTGTAATTGAACCTAGGAAGAGGACCATAAGTTGACGTGAAGGACTCAGTGTGCTACAAACACACTTGCCCTGAATGCTCAAACCACATTTAACTGAAACTAGATCAGAATAAGGAACCAATAACATAACAAGTGAGGCAATATTTGATGTCTACTCATCAAGGAAAAAACTTTGGCGAACATTTAATGTTTTTCTAAGTTGACTTCAATGATTTTAAGCAGGCACACTTGTTGATAACTCAATGACAGAATTGGGGAATGGTAGGAAGGTGTAGAGTCTCAATATTTTCTATATAGTCTGTTATTTCCTATGAAGTCTCTATGTCTTTAGACCAAAACCTGTTTCAACTTTGTTTCCATATACAAAGAAAAAAAACCCATCAATCACAACAAAAAATCAGCACACAACAATGGAACCAGCAAACAACCTGCTTTGAATTTGAATCATCATGCAAAGTCAGTCACCTAATCAAGTTTCCACAAAGCAACAGAATATCTGTGTGAACAGTGGTTACTCACGAATGCCAAGAGGCAGGTGTTTTCACGCAATGCTCCCACACATCCTGTGAAGCCGATGATGAAGGTGATGGCACCAACAATGATGAACATGAAAGCTGGATCCATTCGGATGTGTGTCAGCTTGCTGAGGTTGTTGAATGTGTTCTTCTCTGACCATGCCCACACACCGATTGCCAGGATGGAGAATCCCAAGAACTGTGAATCAGTCAAAAACAGTCAGTGCGATTGGCTTCCACAAAATTTGTATTGCAAGCACATTCTCAACCAAGTGATGCACCTTACTCTGTATATACATCTGCATGTATAACACTCTTTTGCCTGTCTTTGTCTTTTGTTTCATTGTAACACAACACAAGTTATTCACTGGAAACGAGCATATGTCAAAGAGTCATCAAATACTTCACCCTGCCTTTGTTTCAGTGAAGTCAATGTCAATATTTGAGTACTCACCCAAAATATTATATTAAATCCAAAAATAACATATTTTAAACAACAGCTGACCTCCGTTCGGTCACGCCTGTGTCTATGAGATGGCATAACTGGGAAGATTTCACAGCTTTCAGGGACTATACATAAAAGCAACGGCCTCTTCTGGTTAACACACTTATGGTGTCCTTAGAACACTCAGCCAACACTTCACACAAAGCGCAGATCACTCAATCAACGCCCAACAACCGCTATGCGCCGCCTGTTGCGAGGAAAACAATGCGCGACATGGACGGAGAACACCCAAGGAAGGGCATAAATCAAGGACACATGAATGGAAACGAAGGTGTCTGGCTCCCCAGCAGGAAAATGGTGATTTAGCTGCATTGTTCTCGTAACTTTTTCGATTTTGCCAGTTATTTAGCATGCCTGCAATATTAAAGCATACAGGGCACGGGTGTTGATTGACATTATTTTGAGAGCCCTGCCCCCCCCCCCCCAATGTTAAGTTGAGCCCGCCCAGGTTGACTCAGCTTCCCCCAGGTTTTTGGCGGGAATGCTACAAAAAAATGTGGGTAAAAGATGATCATAACACAAAGACTATATATATATATATATATATATATATATATATATATATATATATATATATATATTCTTTGATCTCGCGGCGAAGTGGCGTCTCTTGCCACTCTCATAATCAAAAATCGCGGCTACTCTCACCATAAGATACAGATCGTCACAGCTAAGCGGATAAACAATGCAATAAACATTCCTAGCGCCATTAGACACGCGGTGAAAAGCTCTGAAGATGAGGATGGCCTGAAACCTTCATGGATAACCCCGTTCCCATCCCCCACAACCGAAATGCGTGCCGCCTCCCATGACCGCCAAAGAAGAGCGTCACCTGTGGCCTAAGGTGGCCTCTAAAGCGGCGCCTTCGTGTGTCGATCAGAAGAGACGGCTGCGTCCATTGCCTGCTCCCTGGATCCAACCACGCATGACTTCTGTGCTGCCCGAATTAAATATTTTATAAATCGTACAACGATTTATAACGTACATTTGAGCTAAATCAAAATAAAGTGGGGATAAATCCGGTGAGAAATTTGGGGCAGGGATAGGCTGTCGGGCCTTCGTTTTGCCCCCTCCCAATAACTTACAAAAATTAAGGCCCCTGGCACAGGGTTGTAGTTTCCTATGCGGTGGTGGGATGTAGCCCTGATAGTATCTCATAGGTAAGGGACGTAGTAATATTTTTCCAGTGGAGGTGTCAACTTTTCTTCAAAATTTGCGAATCTGGGCCATAGTTCTGCGAAATCACCGGGTATCGAACGCATATCTATCACTACAGAGGAGTGTAAGGAGGAACGTTCCCATTAGCACTCTGCTTGGTTACGTAACTGCATGGGACCAAATCCACATATTTTGTATTATACCAGGTACCTGCGGAGCACAAATCTTGGAAAAAACAGCCTGGATAACAGGTCGAGCTATGAAGGCATGGAAACGAGTCTCTTGATAAAAAATCCTTGAACTTCAAAGGAAAAACCTCTCAACCATTTTAACACGCGCTCGGGTGGAGGGACCAAATTGCCCCGAAGGTTTTTCCGGAACAGTTTCCGAACGTCGAGGCGTAGCCGAACGAGATTTTGCATAGCCGTAGACAGTCAAATATCGGATCGTTTGGCACTACAAATTAAGATGTACCTTGTAGGGTCGCTGACCTATGACAGGTCAAAGTAAGGTCATGGTTTCAGCGAAATCAATTTCTATGGAATCGTTTAATGTGATGCAACAAAGACGTGTTAGACGAAGCCATACATCTCTGATATGCTTTCTTAGGCAACACAACAGTTATTGAGCAAATTACATTGACCTAAGGTCAGGTATGAATGTCAAACCAAGGTCAAAACCAGCCTGTTTTATTACTCTAGGGCCTGCTGTATGGGGTAGTTTCTGGTGTTCATTTCAAATTTACTGATAGCAGGAACCGCATTATAATCTTCCATGAAATTCTTAGATGTCAGAATAGGCCATTGACCTAAGGTGACCCAGGTCGACATTTGTTTTTCGGAACGTGCTGCCTAGTGTAATCTTTGTCGCTTATTTAATGCAGAACTCAGAGCAGCTTGCATGAATTTGATTACCATGACCTTTAAAAGGCCAAACAAGGTCACAGACTTAAAATGAGGATGTGACCTTTTCCTTAGAAACGGTTATCTAAATTCGGGGGACATTTTGGGGACCAACCCGGAATTTGACCTTGTTTGACCTTATTCGACGCGAAGGTCATGATATAGGAACCTGAAATTTTGACCTAAGTGAGTTCACGTACAGGTGAATACACTCCGCAAATTTAGTGTTTTAGCCCTCTTAGTTCCCGAGATCTCAGGGGGGCAAATTGACCTCCTCACCAGGGCGGAGTGCATCCAGTCGGCCACCCGGGCTCGTGTTAAAGCTGGATGCTGTGTAGGGACGTGCGATAGGCTTTTGCAAACATTCTCAAATGAACAGGGAAGTAATTAGGCGCTGTATCATGTATGACGGGTATCGCTTTGTGAAACCAAACTTGGAAAGCCTCTGTACCATCTGCGTAGGACTTTTTCAGTGAAAAATGCCCCCAAGTTCAACGTCCAGTTCAGTTTCGGCTCGATGTTTAGTTTTTTTCTAGACACGGTTACATGATTTGCACTGGTTGTGTTGATGGAGATGCTACCCAATTAGGGCTAAACTGGAATACAAAATAGATGCAAATTGAGACCTCGGTTGTCATGGCAAACGGTTGGTGTTGTCGATGGTGAGCCGGACACTGCGTCAGTGGTCTGGCCAAAACACTGGTAAATATGCGCTATGAATCGGAACAGAAAGTGCAGTTTAGTTCGTATTACACTCTGGGGGAATCCTTGCCTGTCTGTTCCCAGACGGCAATGTCTGTATCTTCGGGGGGGGGGGGGGCGGAACACCACCCCCCTGTTTATGGTGACTTGAGTATTCTCCCCCCTGCCCGATGATCTACTGGGGTAATGAAAGGGCTACAAAAAATGAACTAAAGGAATGAGTAAAATTTCAGCTCTACTGGTACACTTGGTCCCTAGAAACAGCCCGGTAAATTTGGTTCGTTTTGTTCCAAAATACTACAAAAAGGTACCTGACGTTTTGGTACGTCAATTCCTTCATTTGTCAGACCAGTCTGCAAGTGTTTGACTTTTAAGACCCACCCGGGAGACTCATTCGGTCAGCAGCTTTTAGCTTCGCTGTCCTCCCAGTAATCGACATATCTGTTGAGAATGTATTGCAAATTTAATTCTGTTTTTTAAACATAGGTTCATGATGGCAGTGTATTTTTAAAAATCGGCTGGCTCTCATCCGTATTCGCCAAACCACGCCATTCTGCATAACACCATCTTTTACGCCCGGGGCCGGCTTCGTTAAACGACGAGCTGTACTGGCAGCGCGGTTGAACGCTGATGACAAGGGCTCGAATTGCCAAAATGCTTTTTCCCGTAGATTACATTCCATCCAAAAATCCTCTAACTATCTGAATAAGTATAGGTTCACATGACCTTTAAATGGGAGGTGGTTGCTCATAAACAAAAAAACTAGAATAGTACAAGCTGCACAGTCATCTTTATCGTCGAGGACACAAACTGAAGTGTCCAAAACCCGAGAAGAAATCCCCTTTGGGGAAAGGTCAGGTCAACCTTACCAGTTCAGCTACAACCGATTTAGGAAGTGGCAACTCTGGGTCCGCTTCAAACGCATTCACATTATCTAACCTGGGTGCCAGTTTCTCAAAATAATTGTGGAGCCAGAGTCGCGAAGTCATCAAAAAGGACAGCAATGAAAATCCTGGTGTCGTGTATATATATATATATATATATATATATATATATATATATATATATATATATATATGTGTGTGGTGTGTGTGTGTGTGTGTGTGTGGTGTGTGTGTGTGTGTGTGTGTGTGTGTGTGTGTGTGTGTGGTGTTGGTGTGTGTGTGTGTGTGTGTGTGTGTGTGTGTGTGGTGTGTGTGTGTGTGGTGTGTGTGTGTGTGTGTGTGTGTGTGTGTGTGTGTGTGTGTGTGTGTGTGTTGTGTGTGTGGTGTGTGTGTGTGTGTTGTGTGTGTGTGTGTGTGTGTGTGTGTGTGTGTGTGTGTGTGTTGTGTGTGGGTGTGTGTGTGTTGTGTGTGTGTGGTGTGTGTTGTGTGTTGTGTGTGTGTGTGTGTGTGTGTGTGTGTGTGTGTGTGTGTGTGTGTGTGTATGAACACCAGTTCGTTGAACATAACAGCAGTGTCCTTGCTTGTTATCTCCCGAGATGAACCTTCCATCTTGCGTATCAAGCGCTTGCTTGCTCCCTGTGTTGTGCTTGTTAAAAACAAAAGCAAACTCACTATGAGAAAAGTCCAAGGGAGCACATTCTTGTCCTGTTCCTTATACTTCGTTGACGTGTAACCAATCCTTTGACCTTTTCGTGACATATAGCGTAAAATCACATTTATCACACTGACTACACATGATGATATCAGGTGACACCCACCATGGCTGGCGTTTGATTGGCAACATAGAATAGCCTAATCTACACAGCGTAGCTTTCAGGCAAAAAACAGAAGACCAGCATACTCCTTTTCATTTTAATTTTCCATCAACAAGCGCAACATACTGGTGCTAGGTTCCCCATGAATCTACTTCAAAACAAAACTTATGGAAACTACTGTCAAAAAGCTAAATCACCTCCCGCTAAAATTCTGTTTTTCTGAAGCACACTACCTTCGCATGCTAGCTCTAATCCGTGGGAAGATACCCTTCGTAGTCGTAGTGGTGGTGTCTACCATTTGCTTTCTGTTGAGTTGCTAATCATGGTGGGATTGCGTGTTTTTAAGACCGCTGCAGATCCTTTTCACTTTTAATGGACCTGTTATTGGCTCATTCTAAAAGTCAGCACATCTTGGAGGGTAACCTTTTATTTGTGAGAAAAACTGACATGTCATGTGCGATTTTGTATGCATGCACGTCCGTCGTGTTCGAAGCCTGCGCTGCACGCACTTCATTGGTTGCGAGCCAACTGCAGTCCGTTGATGCCAAAAATTGTGCTGACGTACCCCAGACGCGGACAACTCGATGGTCATATTTTTGTTGGCCTTTAACACTGCAGGCAAATGAGGTAGCAGTAATTGCGTTACGTTTTTATGACGTCATGCATGCCTATGTAACTTTGAAAAATTCTGCATAATTTCGCGGGTGCCTAGCTCAGAAACCAGAGTTCATTAAGTCTTAAAATGGGCAGAGCTGTCAAGCGCACTGAATGACCCTTCAAAAACACTACCTCAGTTCAAGCCCCCATGTAAATGTGGAGCACCCTTTTTAAATAAGGGACAGGCCGGAGATTTTCTACTTATCAACATCAAGTCTTATTGGAGGCCCCCGATAACCCAAAGGTGGTCCTGTTGGAGGTATGGAGGTAAGTGGAGGTGTGAAGGCCCCCCCCCCCAAAAAAAAATATCACGGCAAGCCCCGCCAGCTTAATGGCATACCCCGATAGTAAGACCGGAGACCTACCTGACCAGTAATGAAAATAGTGATTGAGGCTTAACGTCTCACCGACTACCAAGCCAAATTCAGGACGGGACGCCTTCATTAGGAGCATGCGGGATGCAGTAGTAGCGTGGTAGGGACTCGAACCCAGAACCGACAGCCCCAGAGCCGAATGCCCCTAACCAGGGGTGCAGTTTCCTATCCAGTGTGGAGGTAGGGGTGGTTTCAGCCCCCCCCCCCCCCCATTGAACTCCGCTCCCTCTAGCTTTGATGGAAAGCTGGACACAATCCGGGGAGAAAAGAGTGCACTTGGGAACTTTTCGGGGTAGATTATATCATTTTCTGCCCGTTCAGGCCCCGTAACTCACTTTCAAAACTGCACCCCTGGCCCTAGCCATTATACCAGCCGTGATCCCCCTCCCCCTAGGCCAGGACAAAGCTTTGTTTTACAGTGTGCTATTAAGAGACTTAAGAAAACGAGTCGCGTGAAAATATAATGTATATATATATATACCCGCTCTCTCTTTCTCTCTCCCCTCTTTGTTTGTGTGTACGTGTTTTTCTGGGAAGATGATATTTTTAGGAAACATCTTCAGGGTAGGAATGTTCCATGTCATTTAAGGAGACTCAATGCTTGCCCCATGTTTGCTTACCCGTTGCATACAATGGCTTGCCGCTTGCCTGCGCCTGCTTGTCGCTCGCCTGTTATCTGCTTGCCGCATACTTGCCCTATGCCTGCAACCAGGAAAAGTCGCTGCCCCCCCCCCCCCCCCTCCCCCCTGCGCCGGTGTTTATCTACTGCCACGCGGTTCAAACGCCCCAGAGCAATCCCGGTGAACGGCACTACCTGCTTATCGGCTTTATCGATATTATCGATATCACACTAAGAGCACGGAGGCGGCACACTCGCCAAGGCTCAGCCTCGCCCGTGGGGATCCCCGAGGCTCAGCCTCGCTCGTGGAGATCGCCATTTGGGACATTTTGAGCTGACAGTCGTATGACAAGTTGTGATCACGTGGTTACAGTTCAACTGTCGTGCGTGACTGTGCATTGCCTTGGTTTGCTTTATGTCTCCTGTAATGTACTCGACTGGAATGGAAAGAAGCCCGCTGCGCGAAATGATCCCAAATAAACTGAACTGAACTGAATGGAACTGAACTGAACTAAATGCAACTGAACTGAACTCGAATTCAATGCCCGATGCGGACGCCAGAGTTTGAGCATTTCATCATGCTCTTTCAATAAGGCACTACTTCTTCCGATCTAGACACTGTCATTAGACATGAACTGCACTTGTCCAGAGCGTAGCCAAGGGGGGGGGGGGTTCCATAAGTTTGTTTTTTAAGTATATCCATGGGGATACCTAGCACCAGTGCGTAGCGCTTGGTGATGGAAGGATTGATTAAACGTCAACGACCTATAAGAAACGAGGCAAAAATGTGGCTGGCTTGGACTTCTCTCACAGTTAGCTTGCTTTTGTTCTCAACAAGCACAGCCCATCCCTTCGCTTCGGATCTTCGGCTTTTCAGCATAACTGGCTGGCGACAGAAAGGCAATAATTGCAGTGATGCGGCCTCGCCGAGCTTTGCCTGCTTAACAAAACCCTGGCTGCGCCCTGGCACTCGCAGATGCAGCTCCGCGGCGCCCAGCCGCCCGCTGACCCCGCCGAACGGCGTGGAAGCCCCCGCTGACGTGGCCGGTGCAGATAAGCCAGCTGGCCGCGCTGACCGACTCGTCGGGTGCGGCTGAGCACAGATACGCCCCTGCCGTCGGCGAAGACGGGCCCACTCTGCAGACCCCTGTCGGTGCAACCTTCGCCGCCCGCCGGTGAGTTCAGACAGACGGACGGACAGGCGGACAGGCGGACCGGCGACAGGGGACAGACGACAGGTGACAGGCTTGGAGGCAAGCTCTGGCGCCTGAGTCGTCTGAGTCGTCTGAGTCGTCTGAGTCACGGCGTCGTGGTGACTCCGAAGGGAGGATGAGTGGGCGTGCTAATCTTTTGGAGCACATTAGGCGCCTCGCGTGGCGTTCGAGACGTAAGCTGTTCGGTACTGTGAGTCACGGCCCGACGGGCGTAGGCAGGCCTCAAAATTGTCGAAACAAAGTCTGTTCTCATGCCATTTTTTCCTTCCCGTGGGTTACGGTGCACGTTTGCATGATGTTTGTGGTAACGTTTACTTTTTGCGCATTTGTGAGTTTTGCGAAAATGCACCGGAAAAGCCTTGCCGAAATGCATTTTGGGGCCGGTGCAAAGCCACGCATCATGGCAGTAATAACAGCTCATCACGAGAGGCGCATGGGCCGGAAACACCATGAAAGTCGGTTATTTTCATTTATCATTGCAGGGATAAAAGCATACTTTCAAGAGAAGTGAGCTTTCCCATCCCCCGCACCTTGTTCTCACAGCTTTGGAGTGACTCATGCCATCAGTGGCAAACGATGCCGTCGGCTGCACTTGTCAAGAATGACGTCAAACTTGCTACGACAGGCTGCGAAATCGGCGCAAAGAAATTTAACATCATGTGCTGAAGCCCATTGAGTGGGGTGGCAACGAGACAGTTCAAAGCAATGTTACCAAAAATGAGCTTCTGTACTGGCGCGAGGCTCATCGCTGAGTCAAACAGATAACGCTCAACCGAGAGCAAACAATGAAAGCAGCCTCGACCAATACAGAATTGCTCTTAAATCTTGATAAATTCCTAGTTTTTAAAACGGCCGATGCAGGATCCCCTCTCCGGCAATGTTGCGCATTCGAGAGTGCCTGCCAAAAAAGTGCGTTGTTTGCGATGAAAACAGCATACAAAAAGGCACCTGGCATCAAGGCAATTCATTCAAGCTCGACAGAAGGCCTATGGTTTTTCCTTTCTGTTAAGAAACGAGAGAAAAAAACGAAGCAAAAGTGACATGACTTTCTGCAGATTGAAGCACCAGCCGTCGCTCAGGTTTGATACGCCACTGTTCAAAACTACTTGACCTTACGCCAAAAAATGAGGCTCACATTCGTGAAATCATTCCGGGGACAGATCTGCAGATGAACGTTGGGCTTAATCGGAACTGCGCTCTAAGTGTTAAAACACGACGCCAAGCAAAACAGCACGAAGGCGTGTAGATAACTACCTACTATCTCGTCCATTGACACTGTCCGCCCCGGCAATGCTCCCGAAGCGCCCTCCTGGTAGTCAATATGTCACAAAGAACTGACAGCGTGCGGTATCCCTCCTTAAGGGACGAAATACACAGATTTGCACAGACTCCTGTTCGCATTTCTCACAACAATTTAACTAGCAAATAAATTTATGTTTTGGGAGAGGCCGACGATTGAACATGACTGAGTTAAACGCATCTGTAACGTCCATTATTAATTGCTTTCGGTGGATCAAGTAAGCCAGCCCAAAAATACTGAGCCCGCCATTGTCGGCAATTTCATAAAAAGTATACCATATGCACCACCATATTCAACCTACCAGGAGCATCGACATACAGCTAAGGAAATGTCGACTTTTATGTGTAAAAGCACGGCACCTTAAATCATGCTCATCTCATTTCAAGGCCGCATGCAAAGGCAAAATATCATTTCCTATCACTTTCTATTTGCATGCGGTGTAACATGATGTACGTGCACAATGCTTTGTACAGACTATTTAAAGATCCCATGCATTCATGACGCCATAGCAACGTTATTAAAATCCTTCCAATACATTGGCCATGCAGCGATCAAGGCCAGGAAACTACAATTGTAGAATCGTTCATATCTGGAGCTCGTGAGCACAATTTCCAGATAAAACGGCCACCCATTGGCTCTCAATTAGTGTTGTGCAAGGTACGATGACGCAATCAAACAACGGCGGATCATGGAGCATATTTGCTAAAACCAGATATGGTGCTCTCGAGAGCCATCTTTCCACATAAAGTATTCCAATTATAAGGACTGAGCGTGTTTCATCCTATTTGATGCTTGCTTTGATATATTCACATGTGGAATATTCCTTTAACCAGAGCTGATTGCACAAACGAAAAATGTTTCTTTTCAGATGGAGGCAAACATGACAAGAGCAAGGCAGATTCTCTCTTCGGGAGAGAACCAAACTTTTCGTCTCCATGTTGAAAATCTGGAGTCAATTCTTCTTGCTGACGACGTCATAGATAAGCCCGTCGTGCCGATCTCCGTAGCCGGCGCGTTCCGCAAGGGAAAATCGTTCCTGCTCGACATGATGTTTCGCTATCTATGCGCGAAGGACAAAACCAACTGGATGAATGAGGAGCCCACGGCGTGGGGTTTCCATGGCAGGGCGGCTATAAACGCCACACCACTGGTATGCTCATGTCAAGCCCTGTTCCGGTGACTCTGCCATCGGGAGAGGAGGCTGTCGTCCTGCTCGTGGATACACAGGGAGCATTTGACAACAAGTCAACGGTCGCGGAGGTCGGCTACGGTGTTTGCACTCAGCACGCTGCTCAGCTCCCTGGTAGTCTTCAACTTGATGAATAACGTGCAGAACGATGATCTGGAACATCTGCAGCTGTTCACAGAGTACGGTCGCATGGCGCTCGATGATGAAGGCAGCGGCGCACCCTTCCAGAAGCTACTCTTCCTTATCCGTGACTGGCAGTTCACTGAGATTTCGCTGGGAGCAGCCGGAGGCAAGGAAGTTATTGACGAATGGCTCAAAGAACCCAGTGGGAATCAGGAGCAAGAAAAAGTCCGCAAGCATATAAGAGATTGTTTTACTGAGATCAGCGGATTTCTACTGCCGTATCCCGGAAAGAAAGTCGCCTGCGGCGGAAAATTAAACGTATGTGCTGGGGACATGGAGGAGGACTTTGTCCAGTATCTGAATGAGTTGATGCCCATTCTCCTGGCACCAGGGAACCTGAAGATCAGAACGGTCGCAGGCAATCCCATGAAAGCCCGAGATCTGGCAAACTACCTGAAAATGTACCTGGACCTGTTCAAGGGCGACAAGATCCCCAAGCCACAGAACATTCTCCAAGTGACGGCCGAGACCAACAACATGGTAGCACGCCAGGAAGCGAGGTTACAGTACATCAAAGACATGGAGAGTGTCCTGGGCGGCGACAGATCTGCGCTGAGTGAAGGCGACCTGTTCAGGCATCACATAGAATCCACGCACAGGGCTGAAACCACGTTCAAGAAACCGCAAGAAGATGGGAAGACTGGAAAAGTATCGGAATTCAACCACGGCGAACTGCTCAAGGAGATGGAAGAGTGGTTTAAGCCCGTTGAGAGGCTCAACAAGATAAAGCTTGAAGAAGAACGGCTGCAAGGCGGAAAAGTTTAACGCGAGCCTGAAAGAGTCCTGCAGAACGACCTATGCACAAGCAATGCAGACCGTGACTGGTGAGGAGGTTGGGCATGTTCCACCCCAGAGCTAGACAGAGTACACGGTTGCGCGATGTGAAAAAAAGGCCCTCGCGCGGTTTGATGCCGAGAGAGGCTGGTGCTGACAAGACTTCAGAATGTCGTTTCTCGTCTAGCTGATGCCATCCATTTGAGCACAAACAGATTATGCTCCACAACGAAGTAAAAAAGGAGGAAAGAACACGGCAATGTGCGCAGCAAAACTCCAACGGTGAGGATTGTCGAAGGAATGCTACCAGGGCTATGATGGACCAGCACGACTCAAAACAGCTCTATCTCGGATGAAGAACTGAGACAGGGTCATACAGAAGCACTGAAGGCAGCCGAAGAGTTGTTTGAGGGGCTAAAACAGGGGTAGCGAATCCCTCTGTTCTATGTACCGAGAGAACATGTCGTTTGCGGACTTGACGTCCAGGTTTGGTGACTACCAGCGCCTCAGTTGAAAATGAGGTGAAGTGAAGAACATGGTCAACCAAATATCAGACCTTCACCACCAGTGTGAAACAGCAAAAGAAAGACCTTGACAGCAGATGGTGCAGTGTAATGTGAGCACTGTAACTGGAGGACTTCCTGCTGTGGGGTATGGGTTTTCAGTGATGCGAATTTTGGGGGAACAGCGAGCGGCTGATGCAATAATAAAATTTGCTAATTGAATACTATGACTTTTTGATTTGTGCCGTAAAATACCACTGTTGTCAGTGTCCTGCTACGGCATGAGAGCGCACCGAAAATGCTATTTCAAGTGATGTGAACAGGAATTCGGATCCCACTTGCCGGGTTGATTTTGCCTCTTTTTTGCTGAGTTGTCTCCTTGCACTATAAAATGCAGCTTTCCGTCATAGCAAGGGGTGTTTCTAAACACATAATGGAAGCGATGTCGTCTTCATTGTGGTAGCATTTTAGTCCGAAGCGTCACAGGTGGCGTGGTTCTAAAAGCCGTCATATCCCTTTAATTTGGTTTGCCATATTTCCAAGGCTCGTTTTGTTCCGCTCGTTGTGAACAAACGAAATTAGAATGCGTTTCGGCAGGTTCGGTTTCTTGACGAACACCACTTCTCCGCCCCATCGTTCCCCTCGCCCAGATCACATCCTGTCCGCCCAAGCTGCGGCTAAACGCGGCCACACCCTCGCCAGCCCGTCGTAGAACCTGTGCGAAGAGAACAAAGGAGATGAAAAAATCCCGCATAGTTGGCCGGTGGCTCCGCAAACGACGCCTGAATTCCGCCGGGGAACTGACGTCAGATGAACAGGCCCGAAATATTCGCCAGCAGTTGCTCAGCAACCTGTTCCGCTGTTTCAACAGGACGTTCAATGCCGGCGGGACCAGTCTCCGTCAAAGGTAAAACCCCATATGCTAATTTCTGGCCGTTTTTCGTTTTTTATGTCAATTGATTCGTCTCTTAGTGCCGAATTCAGATACTGAAGCCAAAAGTTGAAATTTGCACAAGCTCTTAGCTGAAAAATAGGATAAAAGCTTGGAAAAATTTGAACTAGTGGCTTTGATCACCAAATTCCGCATGAGTAGCCGAATCAGGCGACATAAAAAAACGCAAAACGGTCAACGGGTTTTTACCTTTGGACTGCGGCAGTGTACGGATGCTCAGTTTGCAGTTCAATAGATTTGTAATTGCAGTTCAATTAGAGTATCAGGCGATGAAATATTAATGTATACGCCTCTGTTGTAACGGCATTTGTGTAGTCGGTGCACCGTTTGCATTTCTAGTTTGATTTAGTGCTCGCTTCTCGTTTGTTGAGTCACTTAGCTTGCGATTATCTTGAGGTCTAATTTAGCGTCAGTCAATCCATGCTATTTTGGTATTCATTTTGTATTGCTAACTTTAGTCTCTGTTCTGTCTGTTTCGGCTCTGTTTAGTTCTAGGTCTAGTCTGTCCATTTCCGAGGTTTCGTTGTTTCCCTGTCAGCGTCCACGAGGAGTTGAAGCGCGGTGTTGGCGATGGGCGGTCATCAAATATAGTGCACCTGAAACCTCGGTGTCTTCGACGTGGCGGCCGTCTACATTTGTTTAGCATTGCGCGGGCGTGCATGCATCCAAATCACACGTGATGCGTCAGCTCCTATTACAAATAAAAGGTATGCCATCCAAGCCGTTTTGAGTTTTAAAACAAGCCGCTTACAGGTCCTCTAAAAATGAAAATGATCTGCGTTCAGCGACTGTGCGCGACAACAGGCCGAAAAAGTACCGTAACAAATGTTTTTCGACGTGATGTGCGCTCGTCGCTGTAGCTACACGATCTTCCGTATCGGTGTTTACTTCCTGCACATTGTAGGTTCCTGGCTTTTGGCCTTTTTATGGAGATCCTTCTTTGAGCGGAGACGGACGCACCATTGCGTTCCCGCCAAACAGCGGCTGGAAATTGACGTGTGCCGTTTGCTCGAGATATCGTCAGGGTCTCAAGAACTGCCAGCACATCCACAGCGGCACGGACCACATGGCCGGGTCGGGTTGTCGACAACTCGTTCGCGGGCTTATCTACGAGCAAAGTTTCCTATAATAATAAAAAGAGATTGGAGAGCCGGGGTAATTCTTTGCATCTTCGTGATTTGAATTCTTTTAGCACGCCCCTCTATTTTACCATGTCATCAATCCGGGGCCAGCCTAGAGATTCCAGAGTCGGTGTTATACGCTGGCTGCGTCTTACCCCAGAGAATTCGTTGCTTAATTTTATTATACCTATATTTATATCCATTTATACATACATATATATATATAATTGGTTGTATATATATATAGATATATATATATAGTATTGTATATATTATATATATATATATATATATATATTGTGTTACACACACACACATATATATATATATATACAATATAGATATATATATATATATATATATATATATATATATATATATATATATAATGATATATATATATGTGTGTGTGTTGTGGTGTGTGTGTGTGTGTGTGTGTGGGCGGGGTGAATGACAGAAATATATATATATGATATACAATAACACTTTTGATTTATGATTTTGACTCCTCGGCACTTGGCACTTGATCGCACCGCCCTTACGAAAATACGGATAGTTATGTCTAGAAATACGTAGGCTTGAAATAAAAATTTTGAGAACATAAGGTGTAAAGCAATGCCTGAGGCGGTACAGCGAGATAAGAGCTAGCATTGCATTTTTGCACGACTTTGGCGACTTGGCGACCCCACAAAAGCGTCGGGTGTACTATTACACCGATCAATCTGATGTGCCGTGAAGGTGAGATATTCTCTCCATCTATCGTAAAGCGAAAATCACAGCTTTTCTTTACATTATGTTTTGAGTCTCTGAGACCAAAGTTGGCTTTGCCTCTGTTCATTTTCAATGAGCTAGCGCGCTGAAACAAGCCCAAAGTGCGCAAACTGATATTCCCATACGATTTTGTAGTGCATGGAGACTGCTTGATGAGAGCTGCGTGACCCAGATGTTGAAGGTCATCTGCGTATAAGATGAGGCGTCAATGTGACAATGTGATCAATTCGTCAATGTGACTGGGTAAGTCGTCCACGGATAGGGTGAATAATAGCGGACCGACTGTCGGTCCCTGGGGCACCCCACGGGTTAGCGGTAGACTAGTCAATCCTACACCTACCACCTGTCTTCGACCACTCAAATAACTTTTGAACCGATCAGAGTCCACGCCGTACCTGCAGTTTGTTACCAGCAAACCATAACCAACGCTGTCGAAAGCCTTGGGTAGGTTGACAGCAGTTGGCGAAGACATCTCTCCGCTGTCGACGTTCCTCATCACCTCTCCGACAGTGTCAAGCAGAGCGCCTTCAGTGCAATGACTTTGCTGGTAGGCATATTGAACAGGGCTTGGAATACCAATACTTCGGGGATACGTGCTCAGCTGGCTGGAAACGACTTTTTCAAGAATTCTGGACGGCACACTTAAGAGAGATATGACCTTTTATAAGCTGGTACAGTTGGGTCACCTGACTTCAGGATGCGTGCCACGGACGCAGTTTTCCACTCGCCGGGGAATGGCCGAGCTGTGGGGGAGAAGTTGACGATCCGCAGAAGGTGCGGACCAATCACAGGGAAGCATCTGCGCACCGCTTTTATCGGTGCGCCGTCCACATCCACCGCTCCTGAGCTGCTCTTCCACCGGATCAGCTAAGGTGATTCAGGGAGCGTAGGCGGCTCAAAAGTGGAGGAGGTCGTGAAGACTATTGGCGGTCTCGGAGGCTGTCCGGTGTTCCCTCTAAGTCTGGCGGCAATCCGTGACCCAACCGTCGCGAAATGACGATTGAATTCGTCAGCCAGGTCAGGGTTGCCTTTTAACGGATCTTCTCGGTTTGGTGATGACATCATGGCGAATCGTTTGAAAGTAGGCCAAAAACTGTGACGGCCACCACACGTCGTCACGCCGCAGAGGCCATCACGTCTAGCAGCTATGATGGCACATTTAACGCTGTTTTTCCGCCGTGTGAAGTCCGTGTGAGCCCCTGGGGTGCGCGGGGCCGGCCAGGTGCCCCTTGCTGTGTCCCGCTTGGTCATCACAGCCCGAGACTGCGGGTCATCACACAGCCAGGGGCACCTGAGGCGCTTCACACGGGCAGTTTGGCCGGGCGGCGACGACCCATGACGTCATTGTACAGTTTATTAAATGATTTCACCATCATGCCCACATCACTGGTGTCATGGAGATCTGCCCAGTCAGCGGCGAGCAAGTCCAGGCAGGTGGCGTGCCAGTCAGCCCGGTGCCAGAGCCGAGCAGTGCGTTTCTGGACTGGCTGTCTCATCCTGCCCAGTGATGGGCTCATCCCATCCCGCAGTGATGGTGATGGCCCGATGGTTATTGATGGCATCAGGCAGGACAGCGACAGTTGGTGGTGGGTCGGGTTGATAAGTGATCATATATTCAAGTGCCGTGGACGTTGTTGGAGGGTG